ATGCTTATATTTCAGAAACCATGTTGCATTGGAAAATTTGCTTTCATGAGATTAAAGGAAACGAAAAGGACACCAAAACGTGCAGGTGTAAATTCATTTATTGTTAGTGGAAGCATTAACCCTCGGAGTACAAAACGCGGAGTCCAGTGGTGGCGTCAATCGTGACCCATGCTAAGAGCTCGCTAATGATATGTATATTACAAATGGGCATCGGGTTAACGTTCTTTTTATGTTTGATGTTTTACATTACTTATACATATGTGTAATTTATACCCATAAATGCTATCGCTACGAGAACTACTATAAGTAATAAAAAACAGGATAATAAACTTGCAAAATGTAAACAAATAATATTTATTCCTAATTGGTTTCATTGAATATATTACATAAAATTGTTTGTTCATGTAGAGTGCATATTACAAATATGTTTTTTGCAATTGTTACATGTTATCCTGAATTTGTTTTCATTCCTAATGCAAATTTAGCATCTATGTTTTCAAGGTTCTGACTTTACAACAGTTTTTGCAGTTTTTCTTCTATTTATTTCTATTGCATCTACGACACATTTGTGGAAAGTTATTTTGTAATTTTCAAATTCTGTAGCACGCATATTTATGATTATTGGCAACTAATATTTTTGCTAATTTTTTACAAATATATTTTTTTTATTTTTATTGTATCATTTTCTCATATAACTTTTTTGATAATCCATATAACAAAAGTGTTATACTGTGAAACTAAAGCTTTCTTGTAAAACTGTATAAAATGAATTTGAATGCAAACAAATTATTTCTCGTTTTATATGTGTTTCTTGTTCAAAGCATTACATGGTACTGGTTTTGTTCAACAGAGATCTGCTGCTATAATGATCATCATTTCACAGCTAACATAAATAGTTCTGTTAATGTGTGCGTTGTGGCTTTAAGGTCATTTATAAATGTTGATTTTTTTTAAATGGTAAAAAACCTTCACGACCATTCAACATCAAGAGAAATATACATTTGGAAAATTTGAAAATTCAATACAAAATGTCTATATTGACCTATCAAATAGTACATATATGATACTGATTTCACTTACGTTTTGTTGTATTTTCATGTTTTTCAATAAAATCATGCAACATATGGGGTTGTGGAATTTATTTTGTTATTATCTTATTATAAAACAAATATACTGTGACATTTAAAAAAATCTAATTAACCTTCAAACGACTTTGATTCCTCCACCAAGTGAATTTACACCTTCATGCTTTAGTGTTTCCCATCACCTTCTTCATTTTCCCAAAAGAAAATTTTTCAATTCAATGTAGTTTCCAAAATATAAGAATTTATAGATTAAAATGGGTCACCCTCTCCGTGTGTCCATATATGTGCTGTGTATACACATATATACATTACATAAAATTAATTTTCTGTTTCAATATAATTGAAATACTAAAAACAAATATCCAAATCAATTTACCGGTTGCATCCACTGCAGTAAAATTTCAATGGTGGTAGTATCCGGAGGAGAAGGAGGACTTGGAGAACTTTTAATTGCTGTCATAAGATTTCTTGTAGCTTCTTTAACAGAATCCTTCCATTCTGTATTTCCTTCATTATTGCTTTCAGTGCAAGTCCCTATTAATATATACTATAACATTAATGATTATATGCATATTTTTAATAAGATCTAATATTTCTCAATATAAAATTGGTATTTGTAATAAAATGAATAATTTAAACAGTTTTAAATTTTAAAACATCTTTTTAATTATACCAACTTTTTAAATGCAATTAGTTAATTATTGTGCCTTTCTATAAATTTTAATACAAACCAATTTAAAGGAATAATAATAATTTACCAGAAATGATATCATCCATTTGTAATAAAGCAGCTTCTAACATTTTACTAGCTTCGCTTGATGTTTTTGTAAGAAAAGTTGATTCTCCTGCTCGAATTGTACTTCCGTTTCTTTCTTCACTTTTACCCATTGCTGATGTCTAAACAGAAATGCAATTACATATTAAAAGTAACATGAAATATAATAAAGCATCTACTATAAATAGAAGTAA